GAAATGTTATTTGAAGCTTATTTAAATCTAAAATTTTCATCCAATGAATTTCAGTTCGAATTTTGAATATCCTATATGTTTTAGTGACACTATAGCGGATGCACTTAGTCGTCAGTCCTCATACCATTTGCAAGAATTTCACTTTCATTCTTCCTCAAAAATAGCAAAGGGAAAGGTTCCCTTTGACGCATGGAAAATTTTTTTTTAATCTAAATACTTTGAAACAGATAGTTTTTAAGTCAAAATCTGATGCTGAACACGGGTATCAGGTCAAAATGGAGAAAACGTAGAGCTTTCACGGAGAAAACTGCTGTTCTTTGAAAGATGATGTTAGCAGGCTAGCTGTATTAATACAGCTAGCCTGCTAACATTCAAGTATCACTCCGTCAATTTTTATCTGTTCTTTTCGAGCAACAGTCCGTTGGAAAGAGCGTCAAACACTGTATTAGAAAATTTATTTGGACCTGAAAAACAGGCCACAGCTGAGCTTTCAAATCAATAACATGAGAAAAGTCGCATTTTTGAGATATCTTTCGATTTTTTGCAGCCACTTCAATAACACTCCAGCAATTTGATTATGCCATTTTGTAGAGCAAACAAGTCTCTACAAAATAGGCTTTTTCAGATGGTTCTAATGTTCAAAATTGGAAAACAAAACAGACGGGTACAAGTATAAGAGATGAAAATTAATGCTATACTTTGCATCAAATTGACCCAGGCAGAAAATAGTAAGTAACGAAATCTAGCTTATCAAATAACTCAAGTGCCCGCTTAATCGTAGATTTTTTGGCTCAAATAGCTAGCTGTGTTGAATAAGTGCCCACTTGCTAGCTTCAAACGGACGATCCAATGGGCGCTTAATTGAGCGATTAGCACCAAATTCAAACGCATCAGCTAGTTTCAATTCACTTAAGCTAGCTTTGATGGGTTAAAAATTGGATCAAGTAGGCTTGTTCACAATTTGGCGCTGATGTCGAATATGTAAAAATCTTTGAGATATTTTGAGGGATAAAAAATTAGCTTGCCCTATCTCGTTCTTTATGCTACGTTTCTGGAACCGGCCGAAGAAATCTTACGCTCCACTAAATTGACTTTTTGGAAACAGGTACGGCGACCGCCGTACTTCGCCTGTTTTTCTGGTTACGTTACTAAATCCCGGTATACAAGGTTTTCAAACGAATCTTGGTTCATTAAAGACCCCTCTCAGAAAAAAACTTTTTTGTCTTACACCCAATTTTGATGCCACTTTCAGTAAATGTTTGCCATATCAAAGTGTGGTTACGAAATTTTTTTTTCCTTGTTATCTCTTACCGTTTCGGGGTTTTTTAGAGTCCAAGGTCAAAAACCCACCCTCCACTGTGGGGCACTGTTTTTAAGCATACTTCAAGTTAGAGATCTCAGATTGGTTTTATTTTAAACTAGACACCTAACTGCGTGGACTGATGAGGCCAGATTTTTGATTTAGGTCTTTGTTCATTTTCTGGAGATCCAAAATCCTCAAAAACCCAAAAAATATTTTCTGGTTTTTCACAGATCCTTGATTTTCTCGAAAACTAAGACCTAATTCAAAAATCTGGTCTTATCAGTCCACGCAGTTAGGTGTCTAGTTTAAAATAAAACCAATCCGAGATCTCTAGCTTAAAATATATTTAAAAAAAATGCTCTGCACTGGGCATGTTTGAACAAAAAACGTGTTGTGAGAGAAAACACTGTGCATTCGTTGGTCTATTTTAGGACATGCAGGAAAATACTTGTAATTTTTGATCGCAAGATCATACGGAATTGTGCAACTTCTTATTTTGATCAGAAAAGTCTGTTCTACAAATCTACATGTTCAGAAAAAATTTACTTGCTTAAGTATTCAGAAAAAAATTATTATTTGAAAAGTAGTGATTCTAGCACGCATAAAGATGAAACATTAGAATCAGAACTAACTTTATGTATAGCAGTTGTAAGCTCTTGTTTTCCATTGAATGCTTCACCAACTAACTTTGAAAATTTCATATAAAGATTGAAAATTACTTCGACCTTGAAGAAGATAACAAGCAGAGTTTGAGAAAAAATGGTGAAAACAGACTCTGAAACGTACATTTCTTGTTGTTGAGGCAACTCGTTGGATTTCCGCACTTACATGTTCTTTAGCAATTCGCTCCACTTCAGAATCATAATTAGGAACATAACTCACGACTTTATACAACCTTGCTATATCTAAGTAGTTAATGGAACAGCAAAAGTGAGCGATATTGTTTGGCTATTCAGTCTGCATGCTTTACCGTGATTATTATTTTCGCCTTGTACTAATATTTTGCATTCATTCATAATTGCACTCAGTTTCGGCTTAATCAGGATATCAGTACACTTTTCAATTAACAGTTCTTGTGTTGAGGCATGTAGATAGGATTTAATACGACGTTCACCATCCAAACATTGTTCCACCTGTATTAGGATATTGTGAATGAGAAATTTTGCCTGTTGTGACGAAGTGATTCTTAATATACGTACTCGTTTTAAATATTCTGTTATAGAGTCTGAAGTGTCAATTTTCAATACTTCACTGTGGTAATACTTTTCTGTCGCATTTATAAATTGATTTTCAAAACATTCTTTGTAAAACTGCAATGTTTGGCCTTGATCATAAATCACATTGTAAATTGTTGTTGGTTGTAAATTTATTCCCAATGCAACTGAAAGAAATATATGACCAGCAGACAGTTACCTTTATTGAGCGCCTAAGCCATTCAAAGTTTTAAGAAATGTGATATACTGTCGTAATAGAAGACCTCTCTGCTCTATAAACCTCGGGAAAATTGTGAAGGTTTATGAATTTTAAATTCAAATTCTCAAAACATGCTGCTGTCCTAATGAATATCTGCTCAAAGTTTTAGCACTTTCTCAGGTGAAAATTTGTGTACAGTTCAAACATCAAGCTTTTAGCTAGAATTACAAGACAGAATATCCTCTACAGGCTGACCTTTCTTACTTCGTGAGTTAGTTAAGGAAAAGTATGGCATAGCTGAATACAAAATAAAATACATCCTATCGCATTAAAAAAATCAGGTTCCTAATGTATTGCTATTTTTTAATCTTGGAGCAGTGAAATGAAAGGGCTTGAGCTAACGAGAAACTGAATGAACCTTGCTTAAACAGTAGAGTGTCGGTTGACTGTATATTTCACGAGTTTCTCAAATTAGCCGATTAAAGCGAGAAAACAAATCATCTATTAAAACAGTGGCAAAAGCCTGAACAGTTTCAATGTATACGGTACTTAAACGATCTTATTTTAGTAGAGTTTCTCGCTCTTCACCTCTGGAGAAGTCACATCCACTGATGGTTCAAACCTCACCGTATGACTGAATAACACTAGAAATCAGATGACTGTTGATTGTTTCGTGGTTACGATCACGTTCAATAAGTTTAAGACAAGCATTGGTTACGTGGGTTTTCGATGGAACAAAATAAACTTCTTTCCAAATTAACATTGACAACTGAAGCAGCAAAAAGGAGTGATGAATCTAGACAAACTATGAAACAACGAAAATGACTATCACAATAATACTCACCGTAAATATCTCATAAATATCACGTCTACCTTGTTCGCACCACCGACGAACACAATGACGATTGAAATAAGAACAGAACCTGCTTACAAACTGACTGCGAAATTCGTAATGCTTCCAATGCTCTATGTATTTATTTAATAATTCTTTATTGTGTATAGTATCCTAGATACGACAATAAGCAAAGAAACTAGAACTATTCTGTTCGATACGCCTTTAATAAAAGAACTCACGTCGTTCGACTCAATAATAAAATGAGCACTGATCTCATGATGAAGTCGTTTTAAATATTCTGACATATAATCTTTTATATTTGTATATAAATTTAGACTTGACTGCTTGTGAATTGTGGCAATACAATAATTATAAACGTGTCTTTTAAAATAAAACACATAGAAATAAAATAAGTGTTATTGGTTAATAATTTGAAAGAACATGGAATTCAGAGCACTTCACAAATGTGAAACTTACGTATAATTTTCCATCATAGACAGCGAAATTGGTTCACTTGTATAAGTATCTCGTACTCCAGATAATATTTTTTCCAGTACTTCATTAATATTTTGACGTGTTTCCATTAATGAGATATTGAAGTAGTTCCTATTTAGAAGTTTTAAAGTCAGTCAAAATTCACAAAGTTATTCGCTCAGAAAACATTTCGCCGAAAATCGTATTGCCGAAGAAAAGAGCGAGTGCATGTGTAAAAGACAAAGAAAACCTGTGTCAGTCTCCACTGCTGAGTAATGAATGAATGTAATCTTACAAAAAAAAGCAAGGGAAAGGACAAAAAGACTGTTAAATATGTAAAGACAAAAAAACAAAACTGGGAAAAAAACAATATTATTCCTGACGCAAGCCGGTTTTTTCCTTCTGGTCAAAAGCAGCTTTTTATGAGGATCATGTCGAGATACAGTAAAAGAAAAGAAAAATAGTAAAACTGGACGCATATATTTGCCTTTTTATATAGATCTATATTGAATGTTTGTCGAACAGAAAAGAAGCATGGAATTTTCCATTACTCCATAGTCATACAGTCATACACTTTTACCTATTTTTGGCACAACAGTTGCAATTTTACTTGCTCAACAACAACAACCATTATGACTCAAAAATACGCTGTCGATGGGCCCTCGCAGATGGTTGGGCTCCTTGAAACTGAGACTTCGCGAAACGCGAAACTTGAAAATTGAGATATAAGCGTTCGAGGGATTATCGATTTCGAGGTTTCCTATAGATAGCCAGCCCTCGAAAAAAATATAGAAGAGATAGAGATAGGATCCAAGCAGACGAAAAGACTTCCGAGCTCTCGTGGCCCGAAGATGTGATGAGGACTCAAAATTCCCGAGCATCTCTGTTCGATAGCTATCTATCTATCAGAAACTTGAGGGATCGAAATCGATAACCTTTCGAATGCTTATATTCAGGGCCTGAAGTCTCATTTTTCGAGGGAACGAACGACTTTTCTCATCTGCATTGGGTGTTTTACAAGCAAACTGATTCATTTGTTTGCTTGTAAAACA